CCGCACCAGAGTCTACAAGACCAGAGAAGAGAATGCCATTGATTAAAAAAGGCATCACCAGTTTTTGGGGAGTAATTTGCTTTGTTAGTGCCAATAAATCAGAGGAGGAATTCCCAGAGTGAGGTGCATAGGCAGCCTCTGGAAGGGATGGCGCTGCACGGGGTAATAGAACCAAGCGTGCCACCGTATCCCCCTGGTTCATTGGGACAGGGAGATTGGTATAAAATTGGACTTTTAGGGTGTCTCTATACGTGGGATCTATCATACCTGGAAGCACAAACACTCCTTGTTCCCGGGCAACAGGTGTGGGGAGGATCATTCCCTCCGTTTCCGGAGGCAAGGGTCCAGAATAAAGGGTTTCAGCAACCGTGAGTAGGTTAGGAAAAGTAACAGAAAGATCAGAAGCCAATTTTAAATCAATGTCAGAAAAATATTGCGAAGCAGAAGAAGGAGTAGAGTCTGAAAAGGGTGCAGCCTTTGGAGAGGGGTTAGCTGCAGACCGCTCTGTTAGTTTCCCCGATTGGACTGAGAGGAACGATACTGATTGGCCCAATGAAAACCCTTTTTACATTTTGGGCACACAGTTTTGGGCTTGGCTCCGGGGATGGCAGCGGTCGAGCCGCGCCGCCTCCTGGGGCTCTGCATTGCTTTTTTAAAATGACCAGGTTTTCCACAATTGAAGCAAGTGCCTTGGGGTTGATTCCCCTTTTGGATTGCGGCTGCAAGAGTGTCCATTTGAAAAGCATTGGTTCCCACAATGCGGCAGGCTTTAAGAAAGTCCACAAGAGTTGCCGTGGGACTGGAAATAAGTGGTTTAAGAATGGACTGGCAGTCCGCATTTGCATGTTCATAAGCCAATTTTATGAGGATTTCATTTGCCGCATCTCTGTTTGAAATTTGACGCTCAATGGCAACTTGCAGGCGATTCACAAAGTCTGCATAGAATTCAGTCGCAGTTTGGCGAATGGCAGAAAAAGACTGAATCGGGGTGCCAGACTCATCAACGCGAGCCATGGCAGAAAGAACACAAGAATTAATGATCGGAAATGCAAAGGGGGTGAAAGTTTGAGCCTGAGCATTAAGGGTAGCAAAATTGCCTTCTCCGAAGAGTTGTTCCGCTGTCCATTGTGAATCTGGGTGATTAGCTCTGTTTTGTGCCTCTCTCTTATATTCAGATTCAAAAACTACATATTGCGTTCCGTTAAGAAGCATGCGGAACAAATCTTTCCAATCTTGAGGCAACATTCGATATGTGCTAGCAACTGAGTGTATCAGTCCTCTAGTATAGGGACTGGTTATGCCATAATCTTTTGTAGCCTTTTTCAATTCTCGGATCATAGCCAGGGGAAGTGCTTCCCAATCAACCACTATGCCCGCTGCGGTCTGTTGGTAAGTAACAGGGAACAACTCTGTCTCGGATAGTTCAGAAACGCTTAAATCACCATTGTTTAAAGCCTTTTGAAAAGCACCACGGATGATTCCGGGCCGGGAGAGAGGCGGCAACGTGGCAGGAACAGGAGAGGCTGTAGAATTTGCAGTGGCAGAGGGAGGGTTAAAACCTGCTCCAGGGGGCAAGGGAGTGGCCAACATAACAGACGGATTTTTATACGGTGGAGGATCTAATAAAGGCTGATGAGGCGAGTCAGCATAGGTTTGAATCAGAGTATAGGCAATTTTCCAAAGGCACAAAATCTCTGGTGGGTCTCTTGGAGACTGATGGAGGACGGCGCCAATTTTCCTCCATGTATTTACTTTTAAAGATCCAGACTCCGGATAGGATGAGCAATTAGCCCATACGTAAGCAAGCAATTTAACAGCCTCAGATTTAGAAAGGTGACGGGTTACTTTCTGTTCCTGATCAGTAAGATATTTTTTCCTGCCAAGTAGTCTCAACTCTTCCACATGATGCTTTTGAGCGTGAGACATTCCACCTCCCATACTTACGAAGAGGAGTCAGTTGCCAGCAACTTCGTCGGGTGCACCAAGCCTATTCCAGGCGATAAGTAAAGGGTCGGCAGGGACGTATCCCTTAGTGGATCACGTCGGGGTCACCAGTTGTGGTGGTCTCCCATGAAGAATGAGACACGCACGCAGGTATCTCGGGATGAGAGCCCAGAGCTGACTCCAACACCCTCTTTTATTGTTACTATAGTTTTTACATCACACGGCATAATCAAAAGGCGTATATAGGGGTGGTTACAATGTATCACATAACACACTTTCCAGATGCAAGGCTGTGCAGGTGGACGATGATTCATCCATCCTGTTCCCCGTGTTCTTATCAGAGCCTGTCCAAATGGCTGATGGATGTGTTCCGTGGCTAGAACGGTCTGCTTTGGTATGTGAAGGACTTTGTGGGAGCAAGTCTATAGGCATATCTATGTAATTATTCCCACAATCTCCATTCTATGATTTGAATGATTGACGAGTAATAGTGTGTTACATTCTGCATTCTAATCATAGAATATTCCATTCTTCTCCCAAAATTATTCCAGTCTTGCCATCCCATCTCCAACACAAAACTGAAAGAGGGCTGAAAACTCTTTTCCAATCTAATGAAGCATAGTTACTCCAAGCTGCATCACCCTCTATCCTGTCATCATAAGCATTCTACAAATAATGAGGAAGATGAGAGGGGGAACAGGCTCAGCACCAGATCCCAGCATGACATCCCTGAGGAAAAACTCCAAGAGGTTCAGATGAAACAGGCTGGATTATATCCCTGGGAATATGCTATACATTATTTACAGTACAAGATTTAGATACCTTACAAGATTTAGAATATAGTACAATACATGATTTGAGTATACACTGATAGCCAATCTGAGTATCTGTGAAATAGAAGCAGAGTATTATATTCAAATCTGTTGGAAGTAGTCCCATGGATTTACAAACGATTGTGGAGAGGAAAGAGCCCCTCCCTTGGGGATTCTTCCAGCCAGGACACAACGATCAATGCTTTGGAGAATAAATTGAATTGAAGCAGAGCTGCTGGAAAAAAGTCTTTTAATGGCAAGAAACTAAGATGAGTGACATTCAGCAAAGTTTTTTGGCTAGCTAGAAAGAGTGGTCTCTAAATGTGTGTCTTCACTTTAGCTGACTGTGTTCAGCAGGACAGCGGTTCAAATCTCACCGGCTCAAGGTTGACTCAGCCTTCCATCCTTCCGGGGTAGGTAAAATGAGGACCCAGATTGTTGGGGGCAATGTAAATATATATATACATTGCTTACTGGTGTACACCGCTTAGAGAGTGCTTGCACTTAAAGCGGTATATAAGTCTCATAAATAAATTCCTGATTCATGGAGCAGTGTCTATTGATGGGCTAGTTTCTTTATCCAATCTTGTTTAGAAAAAAGGTTAAAAGTTAATCCCTGTGTCAGAAAAGAATCTGATGTTTCATTAATTTTATGTATTTTTTTTGTTTGTTTCTGTTCTAATCCTGTCAGTCTTAATTAGGTCCTGCATTCTTGTGGTTAAGCTTATCTTCAGTGTTTGTTCAAGTTGATACTTTGTAGCTGTTTGTTTGCACTTGGGTTAGTCTGAGGCTGTGGGTTCTAAAAATGAGCTAGACAGAGAGTTTGTTTTAATTTAGAAAGGGCTGGTGATTTATTTACTTCTTTTTCTGGGGAGGGCTTATTTCTACTTTGGAAAGATTTAAACTGTTGTGATTAAATTTTCTTCCTTCCTCCAGATTTCTTCTTCCACCTGAGGAAAGGGGGGGGGTCTTCCTTCACCATCCATGACAGTATAACAAACCTCTTCTGTACTGCTGCCAAGAAATCTGCATGGATGTGTCCAATAGAGATCATTGTGAACTGAAGGATTTTTTTACAAGTCCTATAAGGAAGATATATATATGCACCCAAGTATGCAGAATCTCTCCCATATTACTTCTCATGCATTTTCTTACATTTAATATTGCACTCAAATAAATAATAATATAAAGTCTCAGTGGCATTTGACATGAACATTAGAACGTGAATTTGTTGAAAAACCTTTAAATTAAATTACAAGAAGGAGAAGCAACTCAGAAAAAACATTGAAAAAGGTAATTATACAATTAATAGTTCATTATAGTCTCCAAATCTCTTATGGATTGGTGAACCATTTTGAAATTCAATATCCTCTGTTCACGGACTTGTAATTTCCTTAACTTCAAGACCAGAAAAGAACAATATAATGTTTGGAATGTGGCTCAAGATCCCAAAATAAACAAACTCACTTGGAATTCCAGCAAAAAAGTTTTATTCAAAAAGAAGCGTTTGCAAAGGCTTGGTGAGCTGAAACACAGACAGGAGTTCAACCACATCTCCAAGAGCTGTTTGACACCTTTTTATATCCTACCCCCTAAAATCACTGCCCTCCTCATGCCCTTTGTACTTATCTCATCTAGCACCATCTACTTTTCTATCAACAAAGCTCAGCTCCTATTGTTATTTCTGCATTTCCTCTGCTTGCAGTTTAGATTAGCTAGCAACTTCTGCTTTTCTTATTTGTATATAGTTTACTTGTCTGACTTTACGATTTTCAGGTGGCTTCTTCTATCAACCTTTAGATTCATTAGAAATGTCTGATTAATAATCTACTCCTTTCAATAGGATAAGGGACAGTGAATGTTAGCATGGGGAATAAAGGGGAAAAATGTTGTAAAAGAATATGAATTTTGTATCAAAACAGATATGAGTGAAACATCATAAATTTGTTTCACTATTTCCTGCAATCAATTGAACTATCTGTAAAAGAAAAAGGAAGCAAACACTGTTTGCTGTATTTCTGATAGGAATAGAAACTTCGTTGTATTATTTTTACACAAATCAATCAACTGAAAGCATAGAAATCAAACACAGCAATAGCAATAGTGCTTTACGAAGTCAGCATATTGCCCCCAACAATCTGGGTCATTTTATTGACTTTAGAAGGATGGAAGGCTGAGTCAATCTTGAGATGCATTGGTGGCAGGGAATCTTCCTGTGTACTGTGCATATTCTTTAAAAACGCATTAATAGTAACGTTTGTTGCTTCGTAGATTGATTAAAGGGAAACATGCATAAAAATCCAGTTTCTTTGCATTTAATTGTGTGGACTGATACAGACACACGAGACCGATCCGTGTATTTGTTTGATTAGTAGTAGTAGCTAGTTAGGCCAGGCGCGCGTAGGAAATAAACCCGGCGAAGCTCGCTCGTGATTGCAAGAAACCCTTGCAAGCGCCGCCTCCGTTTTGCTGCAGAAAATCACGCAAGCGTCCCGACCGAAGCCAAGGCAGGACATGAATGAGCCAGCAGGCTATTCTGAGCTACAGTTCGGCGGAGACATGCTACGGCTGCGCGTATCTGGATCCATCTCGTCTATATATAGCACTCCCCTCCGTGTACTAGTAGGGCTATCCCTCTCCGCTTCCCTTTCTATTTGTGAGCTTGGAAGGAGAGCTTCAGCGCTGGAGCCTAGACGCTTCCACTCCCCTCCTTTACGGGGCGCTGAAACTTGGCCCTTCTAGCCTATGGAGAGCGCACAGCCCTCAGCGCGAGAGAAAGAGGCGGGAAGAGGTCAGGGAAAGAGGGCGAGAAGCCGAAAGAAAAAGGAGGGGGGATATTTCCCCCTTCCCCAGACGTCACATGATGCTCGGAGACCGCTTTTTCTTCAGAAGCTCTCGCCCGCGGCGGAGAGGAATTCTGTATCTGCTCACGGTCGCGCGAGTCCTCAGTGCCTCTCGCCACCAGAGGGCGCCGCCTCAGGGCAAGAACGACCTGCTGGCGCGAACGAGCGAGCATCGTCGATCGTAGGAAAAGGAGGGAGAGGCGGGCAGGAGCTGTTGATTACGCGACACTTTCTGCGCGCCGTGCGTGACGCGGCGTTCTGAGGGAAAGGGGAGGCCGGAGGAAGAGGCGGGGGAAGGGGTAATCAGAAGCGGCGAAAGCAGGCGAGGAGAAGAAGCGCGAGCGGCGAACGGCGAACGCGGAGGGGACGCGATGTGAAATCCTGCGAGGCCCGGGAGGGCTAGACGGCGATCCCGCCTGCATCCGTGACGAGAGGTGAGGGAGCGGCGTTGACTCCTTTCAACTCCCCTTCCGCGGTTGAGCGGATGAACTCCAGCCAGTCGCTCTCCGACTAGTCTCGGGGAGGCCCGCGGCAATTCCGGTCTGAAGCTGCTCTCCCTGTTTGGCGTGGCGGCTACTGCCACAGTTTCTGCCCGGGCAGCGGCTTACATAACCAACTGCGCCCGGGTCAAGCAGTTGTTACTCGCGGCCGCCGGCGACAGGTTGCGCTGCGCTTTGTATCGTTAACCACATGGGCCTCTACTGTGCCCTGGCCGCTTCAGACACAACACGACCGCTCCCGCAGTGAGATACGAACCCAGTTGCTCGAGGCAGCCGCTGCAGAAGCCACTGCGGACCGTGCGGGGGGGGGGAGGGGGTCTCCTCCCCACACCAGAGGTGCTGTCATTAGCTTTGGGTGATAATGTGTGCAAAGCATCCGTTGTGGGACCCGTGGCGCTGTCTGTAGCTTTCCATCACTGCAGCTGTCTGCGTTTTGTTACTATTATTCATCCTCATTATGAATTATAGGCGCTGAGCGGAGATGGGCACTTCGGTTTGGTTGCCGGGCGCCAAGAAAGGAAGTGAAGCTGTAAGGTTTTTAATGAGGCTGAGGGAAATTTGTATTGGCTAGACAGAAGGTTTTGTAAGACAGCCGCAAAAATAAGCACCACGCTCAGAATAAAAAGACTGGATGGAATTGACAGCACTTTAGACTAAATGATGTAAGTTAAGTAACAGGATTTTAAGTGCTTTAAAAAATTCTTGTAAAAATGGTCAGCCAGATAAAGTGAATTCTTTAAAGGTTGCATTAGCAGATTCTTCAGGTAGGATGTCATTTGTAATATATAACAACTATCCAGTTGGCACATAGGAAACCCTTAATACTTTCAGTAAGGAAAAATTGTTTCCATTAATTATGTATGTCAAAGATTAAGAACAAAAAGGTAAAACCAATTTCTTAGAACATCGCTTTATTCTGTGGCTTTGTAATGATTTTGTTAAACTCATGATAATTAACAGGACTAGTATTTGGAGAATTTACATATTATCCATATTTTTTTTTCTTTATTCTGTAATCTGTACTAATTTAATGAACAATTTGGAACTTTTATCAATGGGGGCACGTCAGCATTAAGAGAATTTCTTAAAGAAAACTTTAAACAATTCGAAATAATTGCAGAAGATTTTTAGATACAGGTAGTCCTCTACTTATGACCACAATTGAGCCTAGAATATATGTTTCTAAGTGAGAAATTTGTTAAGTGAGTTTTGACCCATTTTACAACTTTTCTTGCCACATTTGTTAAGTGAATCACTTAAATTAGTAACATTAGAAGTTCAGATATCAAAATGAAAGAATATTGATGTACATAACTGTTACATTTTTCTTTTTTCTAAAAAAGCAATCATGAAAAAAATCTGCGAAAAAGTATTGAAATAATACAGGAGAGTATTTATTTGAAAACCATAGTTACCCGATTTAAAAAAGCTAAGAGAAAACACTAATGTAGAAGTGTTCCAGTCAAAAGCTAGATCTTTAAAGGTGTTCAAGGATAGGACAATAGTTTTTTTCTTTATAAAAGCATTATGAACATTTATAGTTGTTCTAAAAATGCATAAAATCATATCTATATGAGATAGATGATGGACATGAGATGTAGTGAAATGAAGAAAATTTTATTTTTAATGTTTTGAGATACATGTAACTTTTAATAGTTCTATATTTGAAAATGGATTTTATTGTGAAATACTACCTGTAGATAGTAAATGCTTGTGATAATTTATGATCATTATTTGTTTTACCATATTTGTAACCTGTTTGAATTCTAGCAGTCTGTGTCAAAATACAACAGAGAAAATAAATTTAATATAATTTAAAAATGCAAGTAAGCTTGACAAGCAACCTTAAATTAAACTATGTGGAAAATGTTTACTAGAACAAATTGCTTTTGCTTGTTTATAAAATATCAACAGGGCAAGGGCCATGCATACCTCTGAGAAAATTGGGAAAGAGATTCTATAAAGTGGGAACTGTTACTGAAGTGACCTGTCTTTTAGGCCATATCCTGTGTACATATCTAATTATATTTTTTAAACATTTAAAGTCTCCGTATCACCAAAAACACACCTTTCATTTCTAAAATTAAGTTCATATTATCCGTTCTTTATTATTGAATTATTGAGTTCAAAAATGGTGAATTCTTCCACTGTGAGGAAATTTTCAACCTAAATAACAGACTAAACAGTTTAAAGTTTATTCTTTATTCACATATCAAATTCATTGTGTGAACGTTCTCTTGACTTATTTCATTTCCTAATGTTATAAACATGAAATGATGTACAACTTATAAACTATGCCAGGATCCTTCAAGGAGATATAAAATAGACATTTAATAAAGCAATATTTGTTTTAAATTTGGTGAAACAAAACTACATAGAAAACTTTTAAGTAATGCTTTAAAGTTTTGACATACAGTCAGGTCCAGAAATATTGGGACATCGACACAATTCGAACATCTTTGGCTCTATACACCACCACCATGGAGTTGGAATGAAACAAACACAATGTGCTTTAACTGCAGATTGTCAGCTTTAATTTGAGGGTATGTACATCCAACTCAGATGAATGGGGTAGGACTTACAGCAGTTTGCATATGTGCCTCCCACTTGTTAAGGGACCAAATGTAAGGGGACAGAATAATAATCATAAATCAAACTTTCCCTTCTTTAATACTTGTTGCAAATCCTTTGCAGTCAATCATAGCCTGAAGTCTGGAACGCATAGACATCACCAGACGCTGGGTTTCATCCCTGGTGATGCTCTGCCAGGCCTCTACTGCAACTGTCTTCAGTTCCTGCTTGTTCTTGGGGCATTTTCCCTTCAGTTTTGTCTTCAGCAAATGAAATGCATGCTCAATGAGATTCAGGTCAGGTGATTGACTTAGCCATTGCATAACATTCCACTTCTGTCCCTTCACAAACTCTTTGGTTGCTTTTGCAGTATGCTTTGGGTCATTGTCCATCTGCCCTGTGAAGCGCCGTCCAATGAGTTCTGCAGCATTTGGCTGAATGTGAGCAGATAATATTGCCTGAAACACTTCAGAATTCATCCTGCTGCCTTTTGTCAGCAGTCACATCATCAATAAATACAAGAGAACCAGTTCCATTGGCAGCCATATATGCCCACGCCATGACACTACCACCACCATGCTTCACTGATGAGGTGGTATGCTTAGGATCATGAGCAGTTCCTTTCCTTCTCCATACTCTTCTCTTCCCATCACTCTGGTACAAGTTGATCTTGGTCTCATCTGTCCATAGGATCTTGTTCCAGAACTGTGAAGGCTTTGTTAGATGTTGTTTGGCAAACTCTAATCTGGCCTTCCTGTTTTTGAGGCTCACCAATGGTTTATATCTTGTGGTGAACCCTCTGTATTCACTCTGGTGAAGTCTTCTCTTGATTGTTGACTTTGACACACATACACCTACCTCTTGGAGAGTGTTCTTGATCTGGCCAACTGTTGTGAAGGGTGTTTTCTTCACCAGGGAAAGAATTCTTCGGTCATCCCCCACAGTTGTTTTCCGTGGTCTCCCGGGTCTTTTGGTGTTGTTGAGCTCACCAGTGCGTTCTTCTTTTTGAGAATGTTCCAAACAGTTGTTTTGACCACGCCTAATGTTCTTGCTATCTCTCTGATGGGTTTGTTTTGTTTCTTCAGCCTAATGATGGCTTGCTTCACTGATAGTGACAGCTCTTTGGATCTCATCTTGACAGTTGACAGCAACAGATTCCAAATGCAAATAGCACACTTGAAATGAACTCTGGGCCTTTTATCTGCACACTGTAATTGGGGTAATGAGGGAATATCACACACCTGACCATGGAACAGCTGAGAAGCCAATTGTCCCATTACCTTTGATCCCTTAACAAGTGGGAGGCACATATGCAAACTGCTGTAAGTCCTACCCCGTTCACCTGAGTTGGATGTACATACCCTCAAATTAAAGCTGACAGTCTGCAGTTAAAGCACATTGTGTTTGTTTCGTTCCAACTCCATTGTGGTGGTGTATAGAGCCAAAGATGTTCAAATTGTGTCGATGTCCCAATATTTCTGGACCTGATTGTAATAGATTTCGTAATGTCATAATTTTCACTATTTTAATTGAAAAAAATAGTTCTTGTAATTTCAAATTACAGAATGAGAAAACAGATTTTTAACATTGATCAAAGTATATTTATTTTTATAAATAATTCAAAGTAGTGAACATACCTAAAATTTCCTCTAATTTCTCCACAACAACAAACCTGTAAGGTGGGTTGGGCTGAGAGAGGGTGACTGGCCCAGAATCACTCAATCAGCTTTCATACCTAAGGTGGGATTAGAACTCACAGGCTTCTGGTTTGTAGTCTGGTGCCTTAACCACTGGACCAAACTGGATATAGGCAGGTTCTTTAAAATTAAATATTGTAGAGTTTTGCTTATTGCTACTCTATATGTGTTGATTTATGTATAAGGCTTTGTATCCTTAAAAGGTATATTCACTTTCAGTGTGTTTTGCAAAACAGTAGAGCTGTACAAAGCCTTAAGAAGTCCTTTAGAACAGGGGTCCCCAACCCCTGATCCATGGACTGGTAACGGTCCACGGCATGCCAGCAATTGGTCCGCACAAACAAGTGAAGCCCAATCCGTGGGATGCAGGCAGCACACAAAACCACGCACTCTCGGTCCATGGAAAATCCTTTCTCCACGGAATCGGTCCCTGGGGCCCAAAAGGTTGGCGACCTCTGTTTTAGAATGCATAGGAAATGTTTACAATGATTAAAGCAGCTGCATCATTTTCCAGGTTTGTATAGTACAGCTGCTCTTGGCTACCTCTACATACATATTTATGCAGAGCCTAGCAAAGACTATACCACTTTAATTATTTAAAAATTAGCACTTCATATTCACTCTTCCACATTCTGAAGTACTGCTTTTGAAGGATTTGCATGGATTTAATGTGTAGTTAAAAAGGGTTAGAGTTAGGTTAGCAAGTGTTTCAGAGAATGCAGTACCCTGTGCTAATAGTTCATTGTGGTTGAGCATATACAAGCTAATAAAAGAATATATGGGAAACTTTAAAAAACAAATATTTAATGAGTTTAAAATTTTATTTTGTTATTTTTTATTTTAATAAAATTAATTTGTTTTGATTTAAGGAAGAAAGAATAGAATATTTGGGAGCAGATACTTTGGGCAATTTAAGATTTGTATAGATAATGCTGTCTGAAACATTCTGAACTTCCTCCCAGCCAGTTGAAGGCAAAAACTAGAAACTATCCTGTCTAATTGTTGCCTGATCTGACTTACCCCTCCCCTCTTTCCCAAGAAAAAAGTTCAGAAGCATCAGTGAGACTGAAAGGGAACTAAAATTATAGATGGATGCAATTATGTATCTCTTCCAGTACTTGTCAGCAATCAACATCATAATGTATAGGGACACTAATTTAACTATAGAGAGTCCATCTGTTGCAGTAAATGTCTGAACTTTGGTAAACATTGTTGATGTTTATATGGGAAATCAATCATAAACCCAAGTTAAAAATATTTGTTGGTTAATTATCTTAGATACCTCAGGTTTTTCTCCACAAGAAATTAAGAAAATCTGAGGTAGGCTAGAATGAAAAAGTACTAATTTCAGATCCTTAAACAAATAGTTTATAGAATTATGCATACTTTGGATGTTAAATTATTAATGGTTTCCATTTGTAAACATTTTTGATAAGTATCTTTAATTGTTCTGGATGTTTTAAAGTTCAGGATAGCAACATGACAGTAATGAGAGGGAAATTCTTCCATGTTCTTAATTTATGTTTATGCTACCTGTACGGTACGACTTCATAAGGGAATAAAACAGGCAAGTTCTGGCAGTACTGGTATAATTATTTTCTTCTTCAATTCCTCCAGAGACAATGATAATTAATCCATTTTCCAACTTTGTATTGAAAGTCATGGACTTTAATTTATAATGAATTTTGCCTTGTTTATGTCTTCAGAGTGTTCTATCATAGCAATCACAAGTGAAACAGTATAGTTAAGCTTCCTGGTAGATACCATGTATATGCTTGTGCAGTTGGATATCTTTAAGTCCTTTTGAGAATATAATCGATATGTATTCTGAAATAAAGATGTGTCCTTTATTGAAATAGACCAGTGGTGGCGAACCTATGGCATGCATGCCAGAGGCGGCACTCAGAGCCCTCTCTGTGGGCATATGCACCATCGGCCCAGCCCCGCCTCCCCCACGGCCTCCTCCTCACCAGCAGCCCCCCTGGAGGAGAGTCGTCCCTGAGCATGGCCCATGTGGAGCAGTGCAGCCAAGGACATGGCAGCCAGGCAGCAGGGATATGACTCCACCCTTGCACCCTGTTGTGCGTAGTTGATGCTGCGGAGTGTAGGTGGAAGGCGTGGCTGCCATAGCGCTGCTGGGCCACCTGGGTGATCTGCAGACCGTAGAGGCGGTGGGTGGCTCTGCGGGTAGAGGCGGAGCAGGAGTGGAGCAGGCAGGAGTCGAGGGTAGAGCGGGGGTGGCAGGGAGGGGCCAGTTTTTGGGCACTCGGTCTCTAAAAGATTCGCCATCACTGAAATAGACCATTGACTTTGTTATGTAATTGCTGATTGTAGTTCATAAGCTCCCATCTGCAGATGGAAGTTTGAGGATATTGGTGAAGGCATCCAGCTTGCTGTCTCTGGCTCTTATCCATGCAATATTTATTTGAAATAATAGCATTGTTATCTTAAGTTAATGCTCACACAAATATGATACAAGCTTTGAAAAGGATAGGATTCTGTGCTGTTTCTGAGTATACCTCCTTTTTTTCCTGATATTAATTGTTCAATTGTGGGCTTAGCTCTAAGTATTACAATATTGGGTGTTATTTTAATACAATTAAGCATCAAACTATACCAGCATATAGCATTAAGGTGTACCTTTAATTAACTATGAAATGAGGAAATATTCAGTCAAATGTTTTTAAAGAATTTGCAAACTATAAATTAGTATCTTGTAGAAACAATGTATTCAAATGCTTTCTAGAATAGTTAATTGTAATTTATTTTCTATGAATTATTTCTGGCTGTGTAATATCAAGTGTCCTAGTAGCAATGCCAAAATAAATGCCCCTTTTCCCCTCCACAAATAGAAGGTTCACTATGAAGCAAGGTGGATGGAGAAAACGAGCCAGTGATAAAGATGGCTGGGGGAAATGGGTAAGTATATGCAGTAAAGCTTTTAACTAAATAAATAAACATAATTTGAGAGAGAATTAAATATTTTGTACTACTTTAATTATTTCATTAATAAAACATATTCACCATTGCCATGCCAAAGAAGTAATGGTAAATACTTCAACTTCAGATAGGACTGAAAATCATTCTTTCTGATATTTAGCAGTAACTTAAGGTTGACACGTAAGATTTATAAAATGTACAGTGCATATAAAAATTAAACATGTAACACTTCCCATTTGAAAAATGAAATTGATACTATGTATATAGGTCAGAGGCTGGAATCTCTCATTACTCAGCAGTAATATGTGATCTTTTTCATTTTGTTAGTATGTTTTGTTAGTACTGTATGTTCTCCAGCACTGGAGATGGATAATCCACGCAGTGGGTTGAGACTGTATTCCTGGCCAATCAGATCAGTCAGCCAAAGTTGCCACGCCCCGTCTTGGACCATGATCCTTTAGTCTTGACTGATCTGGCCATGCGAGACATCTACAACTTTTGGCTCCTGGGCAGGTATAGTTCCTTTCCATTAGGGGGGATTTTTTCTAGTAGCTGAAATTGCTTAGTTTAAAAGTTAATTAGAGATAATTTAATTCAATTTAATTGACCACTCAAAAATTTCCTTGCTAAATTGTAAAACTCAGGAAGTCAGATTCCTACAGGGGAAACCACCCCCACTTAAAAGGGGGAAATCCCTAACTCCCCTCCCTAACCAACCCCAGCCACCTTCCAGCAGCCGGCAGCCGCCTTAAACAAACGGGGAGGCTCGGGCAACCCCTCGCGTTTAAAACAAACAAACAAACAAAAAAAAAAAGACAGAAAGGCAAGCAGTTAGCAAGGGAAGCGGAGGACAAAGGGGACGCATGCTGGGAGGGAGATTGATTAAGGGAAACAGCTGGCGTGCGAAGGAGCAGTCTTTTCACTCCAGGCTGCTCAGGATTTTTTAAACGAGGCGCCATTGTCTGCACAGCTGGAAGCACGCGCAGCTCTTTGTTACAACCGCACGTGGCATAGGCAGCCTTGTTAACACATGCGCAGTAGTTTCCTGGCAGCGGCGGCCATATTTTTTGTCCAAACAGGGGAGTTAAAGTTCCTTAAGAAAGCTAGGTTCAGCCGCTGGAGTGAATTAATAGGCAAGCAGTACTGGGGTACTAAAGCATCTATTATTCATTCAGAGACATTCAAATCAGACACATAGCTACTGGTTCCAGGACTTGGTGTCTTCTACCTAAAGTAAATAAGAACCTTTCATAACTAACTGTGTTTAGTTGCCTTTGGCTCCTTCCAGACTTCGGGTCCCCCATTAGTGGCCCGTACGCCTCTGGATTTAGTGGTGGGTTCCAGGCATCCCCAGTCGCGTGCCTGTCCTTACCCACCATAGTCAAGCCGGGTTCCAGGCATTCCCATTAGCGTGCCTGTTCTTATCCGTGCACAGTGACTAACTCTGACAATTTTGCAGAGTCTGCTCCTGAGTTCCAGACGCCCCCAGTAGTGCGCCTGTCCTTACTCAAAGTTGGAGCTCTCCTACTACCTGGGTCCCCCCTATCGCGGCCCAGCGTTAGTGGAGAATGGAGGAAGCAATCATTCCCTCCACTGGAGCCCCGCCTTCATCCTCTGGAGCACCTGCTTCAGAGGATTCGGAATCCTCTGCAGCCCCTAGAAAGGCTGCAAGGAAGTCATCAAAGAAGGCTGACAAACAGGCAATCAGAAGACACCAAGCCCTAGAAAAAGAGTTCGACAGAGCCCAGAAAAGGGCCAGAATTGAAAATAGGCAGAATGGGGGAATAGGTCCTGACCTACCGCTGGGTCTCCCTTCATCCCCACGGGCCATTTGGTCATTAGGGAACTCATCACAGTCCCAAACAGAGGGTGGGATAGGCGAATTCTCATCGCTCTCCCGATCCCCCTCCCCACGGAGGTTACAGGAAACCCCGAGGACCATGCTAACCACAGCACCTGCAGGGTCGCAGGCAATGGTCACTCCTCCTGCATTGACAGGGGATCTGCTAGCTACCCTAATAGCACAGGCAGTGGACCGTGCATTTGAGGCCAGGGCTCAAACTTCAAAAGCCAAGCCTCTAGGACTTAGAACGAGGCATCGGGAGGAAACGGAGGACCATCAGGACCTCTCCTCCATCTCAGACTCGTCGGTCTCTGAGGAAGCTTACCTGGACCAGCCAGGTACGTCACAAGGGATTCAAATGTCTGAGGAGGAGGAGGACACCTCACCTCAAGGGCCGTCCTTCAGCGGCCTGTTTAACCCTTCTCTTTTTGTTACTATTCTGCGCAAGGCTGAGGCCACAGCCCATCTGGGGCATGGGACACCAGCGGAGCCTGTCACAGTTGACACGGAGGCTGAGCCGACGTTCGCCGAAAAGGTAACCACTCAACACCGCATACCATGCCCGACCATGTTCCTAAACACAATAAGGAAACAGTGGGCAGCGCCAACCTCCCTACCGCTTCCTAGCAATGCGGAGAGGAAGCTATTTAACGTAGCAAGGGAGCTAGAGGGAACATTGGAGGTACCGGTGGTGGACGAACCCATAGGTCCCCTGATATCGGACACGGCCATATCAGGAGATTTTGCTGAGGCTCTTAAAGCCGAGGACCGAAAGAGTGAGTCCAACTACAGGAGAACGCACCAGGCAATAGCTTGGGCTACCAGGGCGTCTACCTCTGCGTCCTTTTTCTCCAGAGCCACACTTTGTTGGCTCCGTGAGTTACAGGGCCGGGTTCCCATGGAGGATATACGCACTCACCAGGAACTCAGCAAAATGGTAGCGGCCACGGAATATGCGTCGGACGCAACACTTTTAGCGACCAAGTTTTCAGCCAAGGCAATGGCGGCAAACAACACGAGCAGGCGCATCCTCTGGCTAAAGAACTGGCAGGCGGATACCAAATCCAAGTGGAAATTGGCTTCGGCTCCGTACCAAGGGGCAAAGCTGTTTGGTGAGGCACTAACGCCATACCTGACAGAGAACAAGGACAAGCGCAAGGTCCTTAAACACATGCTTAAAAGGCAGGACAAGAGACCCGGCTCCTGGGGAAGGAAACAATCCTTTCGTACGGAAGCCAGGGTCAACTACTTTCAAAATTCCCAACCCTTCCAAGCTAGACAGGATAGGGAAAGACAGGGGGACAGACAGAACACAAGACATAGGCAAACACAGGGAAGACGGCCCTTTCGGGGGAACAACCGCCCCTTCCGCCGTACCAGATGACTCCCGCCCAGACCTTCCCATAGGGGGCAGACTAGCAGGGTTTGCTCCCCAGTGGGAAGAGACCACCACGGACGTATGGGTCAGGAACACCATACGTCATGGTCTATCTCTAGAATTTCTCTCAAAGCCCCCGAACCGCTTCCGCCCGTGCCCCTGTCCCACAAACCCAACAAAGAGAAGGCTCATGAACGAGGCCGTTCAGCACCTTCTAAACATACGGGCCGTAGAGCCGGTGCCTATGAACCAGAGAGACCAGGGGTTTTATTCTATCCTCTTCGTGGTCCCAAAACCCTCGGGGGGTTGGAGAGCCGTTTTGGATTTGAAAAGGCTAAATTTCTACATAAAATACCGCAAATTCAAAATGCAGACACTACGCTCCATCCTTGGAAGCGTAAGGAAAGGGGATTTTCTGGCATCGATCGACCTCACGGAGGCATACTTGCACATCCCTATCTCTCTGGCTCACCGCCGCTTTCTACGGTTTGCCTACAGGGGGCACCATTTTCAATACAGGGCACTTCCATTCGGCCTGTCATCAGCGCCCAGGGTGTTCACCAAGATTCTGGCGGTTCTGGCAGCACAACTAAGAAACGTACCAGTCAGAGTCCAGTGCTACCTGGACGATATTCTAATCCAGTCATCGTCCGCCCAGCAGTCTCGGGCGGACCTAAAGTTAGTGATAAAAATGCTGCAGGACCACGGCTTCTCGGTGAACTTTCCAAAGAGCCATCTAACCCCAACTACGAGAATACTCCACCTGGGAGCGGTCATAGACACAAAGGAATGCAAGGTGTACCTATCACAGGAACGCCTCAGCAGCATAAAGAAAGCCGTAAAACAGGTAAGCCGCGGTCAGTCAGTGACGCTGGTCTGCCTCTCCCAGCTGCTAGGGAAGATGATATCGACCATAGCAATAGTTCCTTGGGCAAGGCTGCACTCAAGAGAACTGCAATGGTTCATGCTCCCGTTTCAGAGACAACAAATCAGTGCATCCCGGAAGAGGGTAGGCATACCTCCGAGAGTACGACACTCCCTCAGGTGGTGGCTATCTCCAGCTCTCCTCAGGGGGTCCCCCTTCAGGGAACCAGACAGAGTAGTAGTCACAACAGATGCGAGCTTATTCGGCTGGGGAGGCCACTTGGGGACCAAGTGGACACAGGGCCGCTGGTCAGCGGTGGATCTCCGACACAACATAAACTGGCTCGAGCTGCGGGCTATTCACCTAGCGTTAAGGCATTTTCACAGCAGCATAAAAGGCAGGCACGTACTGGTCCTGACGGACAACGTGACAGCCAAGGCCCACATAAACCGTCAGGGGGGCACACACTCTCGCTCGCTCTCGGCCGAGGCCCTCCTACTGGGGGCCTGGGCGGAACAAAATCTGGCCTCCATAAAGGCCGACCACATATCGGGGGAGGCAAACATCCAAGCAGATCTGTTGAGCAGATCAACAATAGATCACTCGGAGTGGCAACTACACCCGAGGATCTTCAGGGAGGTCTGTCACCGCTTCGGGCTTCCCCAGGTGGACCTTTTTGCCTCTCCTTCCAATGCCCACCTAACTCGCTTCTTCTCCCGATTCCCATCCAAGGGAGCAGAGCAGACGGACGCGTTACGGAGCCCATGGCCAAGGGGGCTCCTGTACGCGTTTCCACCCTTACCTCTCCTTCCGGCGGTAGTACGCAAGATTCTGCGGGAAAGGGCCGAGGTAATCCTTGTGGCCCCTTATTGGCCAAGGAGACCTTGGTTCGCAGACTTGAGGAGTCTCTCCCGCACGAATCCATGGCGGATTCCTCCGGAGAGGATCTCCCTCAAGCAGGGGGAGATCTCCCACCCAGAGCCACAATGGCTACAACTAGCCGTCTGGCTCTTGAACGGTCAATTTTAGCCAAGGGGGCTTGCTCACAGGGTGTAATTAGGGTCATACAGGCATCAAGGCGCCCCTCCACGAACCGAATCTACGAGGCCACGTGGAGAAGCTTCCAATCATGGTGCTCTAAACAGGAATTGTTACTCGAAGGGATCACAATTCCCAAGATCCTAGAATTTTTACTAGATGGCCTAGAGAGGGACCTCTCGCCAAACACACTGCGCAGGCAAATCGCCGCCCTCTCAACTATACTTTCTGCCAGCCCCGGTGAATCCTTGGGCAAGCATCCCTTAATACGATCCTTCCTCAAGGGGGCTGCAAACATCAGACCGCCAACCGTGCACAGGTATCCATCGTGGGAACTACCACGAGTACTACAAGCTCTTACCAGAGCGCCCTTCGAACCACTCAAAACATGTGACATTCGCTATCTGACCCATAAGGTAGCATTCTTGGTAGCCATCACGTCAGCTCGGCGGATATCCGAGTTAGCTTCTCTCTCAATGAGGAAGGACCTGTGCCATTTTCACAGGGACAAGGTAGTCCTAAGAATAGACCCTTCATTCATTCCAAAGGTCAACTCCCTTTTTCACAGATCACAGGAAATAGTCCTACCAGACTTCTGTCCAAACCCAGCTCATCCCCTGGAACAACAATGGCACACCTTGGACGTACGCAGGGCACTAAGACATTACATTTCACGCACAGCGGAATTCCGACGCTCGGAAGCGCTTTTCATATCCTTCCACCCTGCTACTAGGGGCCGGAAGGTCTCGTCCTCTACCATCGGTAGGTGGATTAGGGCATGCATCACGGGGGCATACCAGGCGGAGTCCTTGCAAGTCCCCAAGCATATCACAGCCCATTCCACAAGGAGTGCTGCCACCTCAGCAGCATGGGCCATGCAGGCTTCTATTGAAGAGGTATGCAGGGCAGCCACTTGGGCCTCGCCCTCTCCATTCATTCGTCATTACAAAATCGACAGGTACTCCTCTGCAGAGGCCTCCTTCGGTAGGAGGGTTCTCCAGCAGGTGCTAGACCAAAGTTGCACACGGGACCAGTCTATTCCCCAACCCAAGGGACAATAGGCTTTGGTATGTCCCACTGCGTGGATTATCCATCTCCAGTGCTGGAGAAGGGGCGTTGACTTACCTGAACGCCTTTTCTCAGCACGGAGATGGATAATCCACACCCACCCTTATAGACTAGAATAATAGGGTATATTTAGTGGAGCCAAAACATCTTACTGTCAGTCAATGGCTGCGCTCGAGTCAAGACTAAAGGATCATGGTCCAAGACGGGGCGTGGCAACTTTGGCTGACTGATCTGATTGGCCAGGAATACAGTCTCAACCCACTGCGTGGATTATCCATCTCCGTGCTGAGAAAAGGCGTTCAGGTAAGTCAACGCCCCTTTTCTAAAGCGTAAGTTATGAATTAGCATTATGAGTAGTTCACATTTATTAAAATGTTTTTCGTATAATTGTAGAATCAATCAAGTTGATAATCAACCTCTAAAAATCCATGTTATTTCCATTCAAGGGAGGATATATGTCTGCTAAAGTCCAGAAATTGGAGAATCAGTTTCATTCAGAGGCAGCTCTGCAACATCAGAAAGATGAAAATTCATCCAGCATTTTCAGTGGAGTTGCCATCTTTGTCAATGGCTTCACAGGTGATGTTTTTATTTTTATGAACTGTTCAAAATGTCCTCTAGGAATATAGTTAGGGTTAAGAAAAAATTAACGAAAATACTAATATGTGGGCAAATGGCAAAGTTGTAAGTTTATTCTGTTCCTAACTAGAATCTTCTATAACTTTGCTAAAAGAAGAGCCAGTTTTTGCTTGCCTAAATTCCCTGAATGAAATGTTTCAGAATGCAGTGTTTATTGTACTACTATTTATTTTGATATAGATCACTTTAACTTAGTTTTTTTAAAAAAAAACTGTGTATATAATTCCAAAATGCAGACTGCAGATTTATACATTTCTTTTCTGTTTTTTATCTGAATTATGAAATGAAGAGCAGGACTGATGGGTTTCTACTTAAAAGATACTTCTTTTGCTATTTATGTATTGTAGTCTTGATAGTTGAGTGGACACTATCACTACACTGTGGAATGGCCAAAGATATGTTTTGAAAAATTAGATGTAGCCCCAACAGTAATAGTTCATTGTTGCTATAGCACTTGTGGGACTCCCAGTAAAAAAATACTTTACTTAAGCTTTCAAAAACAAAATGCTTTGTGAGAGGATAGAAATGGCTTTCAAGCTGTCATAATATAAAAAAGAAAAAATAGAATACTGTATATTGTTCCACAATACAGCATTCTCTTTTAAGTCTTCATCAAATATGCTAATAGCAAATATTTCTAACAATATTTCAGAGCATGGCTACTCTGAGTGTTACTGAAGCAATGGATGAAAGAAATGAGTCAACATCGTTGTCTGAATTTCAAGTACAAAAATTGCAAGGAAGACAGAATAAAATCCAGTATCCTGAACAAAGGGTTAGCAAGTCTATTGGAACTCTGAACAGGAATCCTCCAGATTATAGCATTTTAGTGTAGATATTTTATTGAATAAGGAATAACAAAGAAATATTAAAACAAATATTAAAAGTAACCTAATTGAAAAACAGTTGACAACTTTCCAAAATTGATATTTTACTGAGGGGTGTAGAATTGTGAAATCTACATCTATATGGACATTTTGACATAAATATTTATCAATAAACCACAGTATATGCTATACTGTATGTGCTTTACTTTATCATCAACATTTTATTTAGTTGAACAACTACTCTTAATTCCAAAGCATAATGCTAGGTTTTTCATTTCATGATTTCTTTTAATACTTTTATGTTATCTTGTATCTTTATCACAGATCCTTCTGCTGATGAATTGAGGCGGCTAATGATGTTGCATGGAGGACAATATCATGTATACTATTCTAGATCCAAAACAACGCACATTATTGCTACAAATCTTCCAAATGCCAAAATAAAGGAACTGAAGGGAGAAAAAATAGTTCGACCAGATTGGATAATAGATAGGTAAATATTAGAGAATTGTGAGCAGACTGATAATCCTGTTTGAATATTCTGAATATGAGGTCCATAATTTCATTTAAAAATACCACAGACATTCTGAAAAACTGATCTTATTTTAAAAATTCTATTACATGTTTTCTGTTTTTATAATTGAATGGATTTTATTCTCATTAATGATAACATTAGTGGCGCTGTGATAGCACTAATCAGATCTAGTGGAAATTTTAAAACATTAAAAGTACAGATAATTAAATAGAAAGCTTTACATAATATACATATTGTATTTAAGTATAAAAATAATTTCCTTATTTTTGCTTTAACTTATATGCATTAAACTTTATTAGATTATTTTATAATTATTAAACATAACGAATTCTGCTGCAGTAATTTGAATTGTACTGTACTTATTGAAAAAATAATCTGTACTTGAGACTATCCCCAACGTAGCAGATAAGATTGCACAATTCCCATAGAAACCTAATCACAAACACTACAAGTTTTTTTTTTAATTGGGTAATGTGATCCTACTGTCGTTTTCTTAATTGCAAATAAATTGGTTTTTGAGTCTTTGCCAAATTTCTTATTAGTGTAAATGCAAGCTAAATGAAAAGTACATCAAAAAGAATTATATTACTATAATATTCCAGTTCATTTTCCCAGATCGATCTGATTATTCTCTTTTTCTGTATAACAGAATATTTGCTGCATTTATCACAGTGTAACACTTGAGAATGTTCTGGGATTATAAATACAAATATGTGTAATAACTTGTATTTGATTCACTAAACATTAACAACATAAATAAAACATTTTAAATAATTAACAGTCTATACTTCTCTATATGATTTTCATGTTGATCTAGCAAGATGTCATAAAAAGTGAATAAATTGAAAAATCATAACAGGCCAAGGTAGAAAAATCTTATGTGTTATTATTTTTCTTATTTTAAAAAAATTGAAACCTTTTTAGATACTTAGTCTCTTCTAATCCAGTGCCTTCATCAGTTGGAGAGAAAGTCTGTGGTAGAGCACCTCTCTTTCCACTTTCACTCTTCAACCTGTGGTAGACCATAAGACTAAGGAATAGGAACACAACAGAAGAAGTAAGCACTTCTCTTGTAACTTCTGTCCTCATGTGGCTGGCATCACATAAGGATTTAAATGGCAGAAATCTTAAATCAGGTTACTTGTCTTTTCTATTTTTTTAATTAAAACATTCAAATTTAGGCATCCTTTTACTCAGAAACAATTTGATTTGTAGAGTTGCCTTGAAGATTTTTTAGTTACGTTTGTGCCTCCTTTTTTCTTTTAACTCATATGTCCAAAGGAATTGCTAAATTAGCATCTCCAGTGTGCACCCAGAGGAATGTAAATTTTTGTTTCTCAAAAGTATAATCACACATATGAAACATTTTGACATGTTTTCAAAAGCTATTTCAATAAAGTGATTAAGAGAATGCCTCCTATTCAGATGAAGTGTGCTTACGTTTTGGGTATTTCTGAAAGGAATGATGTGAGTAATTAGAAATATGTAATGCCACTTAAAGCCACTTAAAATCTGTCTAAAAATGTTCTTGAAAGTAAGAATAATTGAATTTAGATTATAGTATATCCTTTACATACGCACACCTGTTAATAAGGCTTTCAGAACAGAGAAATATTCCACTGTATATAAAGAGTATTTTTTCATGAAGTTTTTGAGCAATTAAAATTCTGACATTCTGTTACAGCATAAAGGCTGGACAACTCCTTTCATATATTCCTTATCAGCTTTACACAAAACAGACAAGTATTCAGAAAGGCCTCTGGTTTAATACTATATGCAAGCCTGAAGATTCAGTTCCAGGTCCTAGCAATATCTCTGTGGGACTCAACAGGGTGTAAGTAATTATTTTCATTTTGTAATTGAAATTAAATTTAAGACTGAGAAATGTTGATGAGTTTATGTTGATACTGTATATTAAATTATTTTAAGATCTCAAAGTATACCTTACATTATAGTTTGAAGTAGAATGGAATTAAGTGTGAAACCCATGTAGTTGTAATGGTTAAAGTGTTGCTGTAGTAGAGAGACCTAGATTCAAGTCTACCCTCAGCTGTGGAAGTTCACAGGAGGCTATAGGTGAGCCATTTTTTTTCAGCTCAACTCATATTCTAGGGTTCTTCTGGTGGGGAAAAAATGGAAGGAGTGCTGTATATGCTGCTTTTATCTCTGATCAAAAAGCCAGATATCAATCTAATAAATAAGACAAAAATAATTACTTTTTTGGTTTTCAAAATCAAGCTTCTTTCAAATGCAGTCATATTAAAGATATTTTTAGATAAGTATACTGTATACATAACAGTGTGATATTAAAACCTAATCTGATACACATAGTTGTTTGCACTAGTATAGATTTATTGCAGTGCTCTTGCATGCTCCATGTGCCTTGGTGTATAGTCAGCTGGCGAATGAAAACATCTTCAGACAACTCTCGCTCCCTCGGCTAAAAAATAGAAATGAGCATCACCTCCTAGAGTTAGAAATGACTGGACAGGAGAAACCTTTACCTTTGCCTTTTTACTTCATGCCTTGATTTCTGAAAACAATTGAGAGCTGTTCAATCATTGTCCATGCCCCAGTCATGATGTCTGTTGCTAATTTCTCTGCTATTTAGAAGCTATTTGTTATTTATTAAACCTATTCCCCATCTTAGTCAAAAGACTTCCAAGTTATACATTATTGTAACAATTAAAACATCCATTTATAAAAACACATAAATGGCAAGGAAGATAGATAGCAATAGTACTTAGACTTATATACCGCTTCACAGTGCTTTATAGCTCTAAGCATTTTACAGAGTCAGCATGTTGCCCCCAACAATCTGGGTCCTCATTTTACCGACCTCAGAAGGATGGAAGGATGAGTCAAACTTGAGCCAGTGAGGATCAAACTGCTGGCAGTTGACAGAATTAGCCTGCAATTCTGTATTCTAACCACCGCACCACCACGGCTCACTCTATCTATTTATCGGTAGGTAGATAAGTAGACAGACAGAAAGACAAACAGACAGACAGATAATACAAGCTGTGAAATAATTCAGTTTTCATGAATTTCCTGAAAGACAACAGGGAGGGAACAAGACTGATCTCCAAAGGAAGGCCATTCCAAAGTAGTGGTGCTGCCAAAGAAAAACAGTGCTATCTAGCCTAAGCTAGTAGAACTGGGAGACCACTAGGAACTTTTTATAAGATATGAGTTGGGCCAATTTTGATTAGAGAAGGCAATCCTGTAAGTACAGATGTCAGATGATGAATGGCTTTACTATATAATTCAATATCAGTAACTTAAACTGTATCTGGAAACCTATTGTAACCACTATAAGGTCTGCAAAATCAGCCCCGTACTGGTTATGTTCTCTTTGCTAGTAGTTGGCAAACATACAGGTTATCACATTCTGGACTAATTGCAGTTTGTAAGACTGTAAGAGTACCCATATGTAAAACATATTGTAGAAGTATAGACAGGTGGTGATGATCTGATTTAATTTATTAAATTTATGCTGTGAGTATTAAAGCCAGGTCCACTCATACTAGATGCACCAGTGTTTTATTATGTGCAACCCATTTCTAGCATAATAACACCAATTAAATACATTAGCATGGGTTTGTTCCTTATCTGCAGTTTTGAATTTTAAAATGTGTATTTTATTTTATATACTATGAGTTGTAGTATTAGTGAGAAAAATTGTTTTAAAGTATATTATTTTTCCATTTAAGACATCCAAGATAGTTAACATATGCTTCAAAATAAAAACTCAGTGTTAAAAACAAACCTTTAGGCCAGTAATGTTCAACACAACCTATATACAGGGTTGCTCTTGCGGGAAAAATAAGAGGAGTGTGAGATATTCTGCAGCCTTAAGTTGACAAATTTATTTAAAAAGCAGGCAATAAATCTAATAATAATTAGATGTCAGGACTGAATTTCTGTATCTCTTTGCTGCTTCTATACGGCTAGCTGCTATAGGAAACCATCTAAACAAATACTTCTGCTCAGTTTTCTCAGAAGTAGATGTCAGTAACAAAAACAGGTTGGATCATACTAGTCTTAGAGTTCAGGTTCTCTTTCCAGGGCGTTTAGAGGTGGAGGTGGCATGTCTGACAAAAATTAAAAAGTTAAGTAAGGTTAAAAAATAAGAATACATAATAAATTAAAAAGAAAACAATAAAAGGCATTCTTGATGGATCTCTAGGTCTTTTTTTATAGTTAGATTTCTACATTTGTATGTTTTTTGTGGTTCAGATTTTAAGAGCTGAAATCTAGTAACACCTAGATCAGTGGTTCTCAACCTTTTTAATGCCGCGACCCCCAACCGGTCGTAAGTTGAGGACTACTCAACCGGTCGTAAGTCGAGGACAACTCAACTGGTGCAGCACCGTTTGCAGAATGGGACTTTTGGCGGGCTCAGCAGGGCAGAGACAGCCTGGACAATTCCTATTGGCTTTTGAAAGCCAATAGAATTAGACTCTATCCAAGCCAATAGAATAAAAGGGAGTAGCACAGCTAAGGAAAAGTGGAAAAAAATGGTGGACTGCGTTGTTTGGTGACCCCCGTGAAATGGTCGTTCGACCCCAAATGGGGTCCCGACCCACAGGTTGAGAACCACTGACCTAGATAATATTTATTGCTCACAGGTTCTCACATCATACTAAGATATGGGGGAGAGGAGTTCATTTTATTGAATATGTTTAGTAGCAGCATTTTGTGTTACATGCTATAGCAAAACCAAATCACATAATTTTCAGGGACAGGAAAGGATTATTGGATACTTATTGTGGTAGTTATAGTGGTTTTACAGTTATTCTTCTATAGGATTGTATATTTGCTTAAATACTGTGTGTGAGTTCTGAATATGTGTATACATGTATATGGAATAGAAACATTCACTAAATAATAATAGGGTATGTTTGATTTGGGCTTAATGCATAATTTAAGACATTTTAGTTTGTAAGCTATTATGGCTTATTGTTGTATGGTATTGGGCATTCAAGGGGACAAGTGGATAACGATGAAACCAGATCTTAGGATACAAATTCATAAGGGTAGGATATGCATTATAATGTCATAATGCAGATATCATCATTTTGGTTTGCCACAGCCATTCTGATGGGTTTGATGAATTATTATTATTGATCATTGCACAGTCAGCTAGATGGGGTTTGGCATTTTTGTCTGCCTGTCGAGTCTTTACAAAGGACCTGGGATAGGCAGATCTGGATGTTTAATGATGTCACAGATATCGTTGCAGGATGAAAGCTGTTCCCAGTAAAACTGCCCTTTGCAATTGACTGGTGGCGAATTTGTCAGTGGCAATGGTGTTCAAGTGATGCTCTAGTTGTTTTGAGACTGCACCCAAGGCGCCTATTATTATTGGTACTATCTTGCATGCCTTTGCCAAAGTCATTGTATTTCTATTTGTAGGTCTTTGTATTTTGTTATCTTCCCCAGTTCTTTCTCTTCTGTTTTGTTGTCTTCAGGCACTGCCACATCCACTGTCCAGACTTTGTTGTGTTTCTTATTGACAATTGTTAAGTCTGGAGTGTTATATGGCAAGTGCTTGTCGGTTTGATTTCTAAAGTCCCAGAGTAATTTAACCTATTCATTTTCTATGACTTTCTTTATTTTATGCTCCCACCAATTCTTGCTTGCAGGCAAATGATATTTCTTGCAGATCTTCCAATGCACCATTATTACTACTTTGTCATGCCACTATCTGTAGTCAGTCTGTGCAATCTTCTTGCAACAGCTTACCAGGTGATCCACTGTTTCTTCAGCTTCTTGCATAGACAGCACTTACTGTCTGTTGCTGTCTTCTCAATTTTGGCTTTGTATGCATTTGTCCTTAAGGCTTGGTCTTGTGAAGCCAGAATTAGTCCCTCTGTCTGTTTCTTCAACTTTCCTGCTCTTAGCCATTGTCAGGTCTTGTTATTAAATGCTTTTCCTGTTATTTTTTTAATGTGCTGGCCATGTAGCTCTTTGTTTTCCCATGCCCCCATTCTTTTCTTCATTTGGTGTTTCTTGTAGGCCAGTTTGTTCTTTCCAGTTGTCATTAAGGCTGCCTGGTATACTAACTTCAGTGCATCTTTTTCACCGACCTTCAAATGTTCTTCCAAAGCCATTTTTTCTTCTTCAATCATCTGATGTACTTGCAACATTCCATGCCCACCTATTTGCCTTGGTAAGTAGAGTCTGTCAGTGTCACTGAATGGATGAAGGGCATCACTCGTCATTATTTTTCTAATCTTCCTATCCATTGCTTTTAGTTCTGCTTGAGTCCAGTCCACTGTTTCAGCTATTTATTTAATGACTGTAATTGCCCAGATGTTGATAGCCTTGATGGTATTTCCTCCATTGAGTTTGGACTTTAAGATCTTCTTTGCTCTCTTGATGTATTCACCTCTAATCTTTTCTCAACTTCGGTGTGCTTGATGTTGTCAGCTTGAAGGATACCCAGGTATTTTTAATAAGCATTTTCATCCAGATTCTTAATGTTATTTTTGTGGGGCATCTTGATTTCTTCAGTTTTCATTGTTTTTCCTTGTTTGATAGTGATTGTGGCATATTTGTCCAATCCAGACTCCATTGCAATATCTCATTTATATATACAGACAGTGTTGAGCAGTGATTCTATTTCAGATGGAGTTTTTCCATACAGCTTGAGATTGTCCATATAAAGGAGGTGGGATAGTATGGCAGATATTTTTGATGTTTGGTAGCCAGAGTCTGAGTTATTCAGTATTGTTGACAGAGGAAACAGTGCAGTGACAATGATTTGTCTTCAATTTGTGCATCACCATGTATTGCAATATCATTTTTTCTTTTCCATAATAGTGATGTTAGACGTGTTGTGGGCCAGGTGGCTGTCTGTTTCAATTCAAAAGCTCCACAAGATCTTGACCTGTTCATTTTCAAGAACTATGTCAATTTGGTGTTCCCAGTAATTTTTGCTGCATTCAAACCCAAACTTCTGGCAAAGCTTCCAATGTATGATTTTGGCAACTCGATCATGATGTTGTAGATAATCAGTTTGTGAGATTTTGTTGCACCCACTGATAAGGTGATCCATTGTTTCATCTTTCTTGTTGCATAAGTGACATTTGCTGTTGTTACCGACATGTTGAATTTTTGCTTTCATGGAATTGGTCTGCAGGGCTTGTTCTTGGGCAGCCAAAATGAAGCCTTCAGTTTCTTTCTTTAGCACCCCGATCAAAACCATATTAGACTTGTGTCTGCCTTTCCTTCAATGTCTTTCAGATATTGACTGCGCATAATCTTCAGTTCAATTCACAGTCTGGGACTGGTAAAACCTTAACAGTTCAAGTCCTAACCAAGGACCTAAGGGCTGTTAAGGTAATGTATTATCATTATTATATTCATTTACCCCCTATTATAGCTAAAACAAACCATGACTGAACAGTGTTGATATAGGACAGGTATTGAAAGAGATAAATTATTTTTGTATCTAATTTTCTTTTGCTTTCATGTGTCATACTTCTAAACCATGTATACTGCCTACAGTTGATGCTCATTAAGGAAAAAATATGAAAGACATATTTACATGAAAATGCACATTAATATTACCTTGTTTCCAGCTACCTTGTTTTTCCAAAATGCGTAGTACAATATAATGTATGATTTAATAAGATTACCTGTGGTGGCTGTTCCAGCTATGTACTGTATTGCATTAAGTAAAACTGAACTGAACAAAAACACACTTCAAAAATCCTCAGAAAATCATTTGTTACTCTAAAGTGTTTCAGGCTTATGATACTTTCTTAGGAAGAGCTTTATGAAATGTAAAGTTGTTTTTGTCATTGACTCAAGTGGTGCAGAACATTTGGATAAAAACCTCAAATATACAAAGAACAAATACAAAAAATATAGAACTCTATATTAAGAAATAAATAATATAAAAATAAAACCTTGGGCAAGGAGAGATAAATAAGGCAACCTCAACAATTGATCCATCTAAGCAAATCTCTAGTTCCCTTGGAACTGCAGATCTGATAACATAACCAGGTCTTGAGGGCCAAAAGAAATGTAATTTAATTTAATTTGGGGGGAAGAATGTTCCATAAGGTAAGTGCCATGGCAAAGAAGACACATCTCCTAGGATCCACTAAATGTAGCTCTAGCTGATGGTACTCGCAGCATGTCTTGTCTAATAGGACAAGCTGAAATAATTGGGGAGAGGAGGTCCCTCAGATAGCCTTGTCCTATGCCATGAAGGGATTAAAGGTTAAAACCAGTACTTTGAATTAGATCCAAAAACAAATTGGCAACCAATGCAACTTGCAGAGCAGAAGAGTAACCTGCATTGCAGGCTATATGAGGTGATTAGGGCATGAGTAATTAAGCAGGGTCTGCCAGTCATGGATGAGCCTATTGTGCACAAGATAGAGCTGTCAAAAGCCCTCCTAGCCATGACTGACAGCTGCTCATTGCCCAGACCTCCACAGCCTCCAGAGCATCACTTAATTCACCAAGGATAGAGTTATATAATTTGGTATTTCTTTCAGAGATAAAGGAACTGTCCTCTACCCCAAGAAGAATTCATCATCACTAGAACCCATTCATACAACTACCCCAAGTGCTTTCATAGGCCAGGCGGTGCATGGAATTAAAGATGACTAGGGTCATAATCCTAAGGACCTGTCCACTTCCTCAGGTCCAACAGATTCAAACCATTACCAGATAACTGGGTAAGACTCTTTCCCAAGCATCTCTTCTAGACCTGTGACAAGGTCAGAGTCCAACTGGGAATTAATTTGAGCAACTTTATCCATAAATGTGCAAATTCCTGCACACAACCTGCAAGAGATTAGAGTTAACCCCTTACAAGGAACCGTATCATCTGAAACAGAGCTGCAGGGAAGCAATCTGCAGATGCAATAAGGATGGAGAAGTGTTGCTGCTTTGCTCTCCTTACTACCACAATGCAGACCTTAATAGCAGCTCTCACATAAGTTTGGTTGAGCCTGTCCTTTATTTCCTTTACTTATGTCAGAATACTGGGAAAGATCTCTAATTTTACATTGCAGTTTAGAGAATACATCAAATAATAAAACTTAATGTCATGGTTCTGATAGATAGAACCGAATAAATCAGAACTCCGAGGCTTGAAACTTCCTCAAAGAACATGATTATTGGATACAAAATATTGGCATGGTCAAAAGTGAAACTAAATCAGAAACTCCCTCCAAAGAATTACACTATTACAAAGTAAAAGTCCCTCCCCCCCCCCAGTGCTATGCCATAACTACACTACCCAATAGAGCAGTTTGGAGGGCTTTCTAACAAAGCGCCCAACCCTCTTCTCCCAAGCGAGAGAATGACCTTAATTCCCACGGAACACAATATTGTTTAGACCAGGGGTAGGCAACCTTGGCTCTTTTATGACTCGTGGACTTCAACTCCCAGAATTCCTGAGCTAGCCATGCTGGCTCAGGAATTCTGGGAATTGAAGTCCACGAGTCATAAAAGAGCCAAGGTTGCCTACCCCTGGTTTAGACTAACAGAGATTCTCCATCCCCCCTCCCTTTTGTATGGCAACCTAGAACGACCAAGATAGCTGCAGCCAGGTTCGTTGTAGAGTTAACACTTAGACTTTCTTGCTTTAATCTGTTCAGAGAATAGAATAGTATCTGTCAAATGTTCTATTTAGCAATAGAATGGCTACTTAGATCTGAATGTATCAAGTATAGGTATACCGTTGAATTTTTATGTCAATCTGAACTCTTGGAATCAAAGTATAGGCTTGAAAGATTTTTAATGTCAGTGCTGCTAACATTTATGTAAAATTCAATTTCTGATTAGGTAATGAAACAAAATATGTACAGCATAATGTATATATATTGAAAGTGTGACAAATGTATAACAAAATTAAAATATTTGGAAAATGCCTCTTAAGTGTAGAAAATATTACACAAGTCATAGTAAGTTCCGTTATTAGTCTTCATGTAAAAGGATTACAACAAAAAGAGGAAATAGTTTAACCTTTGTCTTATGTATTTGTTTTATCAATTTTCTTGATTTTAGAAATAGTCTTGTAAAGAAGCATGAAGTAGAGAATGAAATGAAAACAAATGGAGTGAGTAAATCAAAGAAAGAAGCTGAAACTACAAGGTTCCTGGAGCAAGCTCTTTCCAGAAGCAAACAGAATGGAATACATCAGAAAGACAACTTTTCCATTTTTAATGGACATAGTCATAGTTCCAACAGTGCCTTAAAGATGCAGGATGGTTTGCTACACTTAGACAAAAGTGTTATAAGCAGACTGTCTCCTCTGCATGAAGAACTAAAAGAAAGCACTGATTTTAGAGACTGTTCTACGCAGCATTTGCAACAAAGCAACAGAAACACTGAACTTTTAAGAAATGTGCACAGGACTATGAGTCATTCATCTTTTTCATCTTTGCACAGTAATATTAAAATAAATGGTGCTCATCACTATACTGTTCAGGGGCCTTCAAGCACAAAAAACACTACTTCAGTACCTGATCCTAATAAGGAAGATTATTCACCTTTGTGCAAATCTTCTAATGGCAATTTCATTTCAGATTTTTATTCTCATTCAAGATTGCATCATATATCTACCTGGAAATGTGAATTTACAGAGTTTATCAACACATTACAGAAACAAAATAATGCTAGCTTCCCAGGAAGAGAAAAGTTGAAAAAAAATAAAGCAGGACAATCTACAATAAATAAAGCTGACTTAGGTAAAAATATTTTAAAATTATATTTAAAAAGTTGTCACATATTTATTTTTCAGTGAAATGGTGGATATACATTTCTCCTGACATGGTTGTTTTGGTCAGAATATAAGTATTTGGGAATTGGAGTTGTATAGCATAAAAAAGTAACTAAAGATAAGGTGGGAGATGTTAGGCAATTTGAAATTTTCTGTAGTTCGATGTTTCTTTTATATTTTACTAAAAGGTAATTAATGAAGAATCGAGAGATAAATTTTAAGGTTAAATTTTTAGTTTTATTAGAAACAATGGATAGTTATTTAGCCAGGATTAAATTGTCTGTTTACTGTTCTTTTCCTAGATAGTACATTCTTTTTGAATTCAGCCAAACATCAATGTTGCATAATGCATGTGGATATGGACTGCTTCTTTGTATCAGTTGGTATCCGAGATAAACCAGATCTAAAAGGTTTGTATTAATATCTAAACCAAATGTTTATTTTTAAAAATACTTAATTATTCATTTAAATAAATATTCATTTTTTAAAAAATGATTGTTCACAGTCTATTGTTACATAAATACTTAATAATAATCAGAATAGAGCTGGAAGGGACCTTGGAGGTCTTCTAGTCCAACCCCCTGCTCAAGCAAGAGACCCTATACCATTTCAGACAGGTGGCTTAATTCCAGGTTGCTTCTCTCCTTGATAGTTTTCTATCCATTGTTTCTAGTCTTGCTTTCTGGTGCTTTGGAAAATAAGTTGACCCTCTCTTCTTTGCGGCAGCCCCTCAAATACTGGAATACTACTATCATGTCACCCTAGTCCTTCTTTTCTCTAGACTAGCCATACCCAATTCCTGCAACCGTTCTTCATATGTTTTTGTCTCCAGACCTTTAATCAGCTTAGGTGCTCTTCTTTGCACAAGATTTGGCCCCCGGGGCTGACCAAGAAATGGCAAGGGACTGGCCCCTGCTGCCCCAGCCCTGGCCCATCCCAACACGGTTGGGTGCCCCCCTGGCACACACACATGAAATGGTGAGCGCTCAGGGGCCGGTGATGCACAGCAAGAGCTGCAGCTCATTTGCCTCACCCCACCCCGCCCCTCCCAGCCTAACCCCATGATGCCCAGCTACGCCCCACTTTGCCGGGCCTCTCCTAGTCCGGCTCTGCTTTGCCAGGCTGCGCCTTTCCTCACTCGGCCCATGGCGTTCTGTAAGCCTAGTGCCCAAGACATGCCTGTGATAGCGTGTGGTGGCACAAGCTGAGCGTTGGCCACCTCCCGGTCACCCTCTCCGCCACATGGTAGGACCGGAGAGGGGAATGCAGCACCAATGCCAGATGCAGAGCCATAGCCTGGAACTACCAGTAGCTGGCAACATGTGAGCCTCTGTGGCAGCTGGAGAGAAAGGGTGAGAAGGAGGAGAAAGCAGGAAGGGTTTCTGTGTGTGTGTGTTTGTGTGTGTGTATGTATGTATGTGAGAGAGAGAGAGCCAGGAGGGAAAGGGAAGAGGAGGAGGAGGAAGCCGAAGTGTTACAAAAAAGGGGAGCTTCCCCCTTTCTCCTCCCCCCCTTTTTTTTAACCGTCTCCCACTCCGTTCAGGTGCAGCTGGAGGAAAAGAGCAAGAAGGGGGGGAAAGCAGAGAGGTTTTTTTTTGTGTGTTGTGTGTGTGTGTGTGAGAGAGAGAGAGAGAGAGAGAGTGCACCAGCAGGGAAGCGAAAGGAACAGGGAGCATTGCAAACAGAGTAAGCAAACTTACAAAAGGGGATCTCTCTGTCTCTGTCTCTCTCTCAAACACACACACACACACACACACATGCTGTGCCAGGGAGGTAGTATGCAGGCAGGTGAGAGAGCAAACTCACAGATTGGCTTCGTGGTCTATTTTTGCCGCTTCCCCTGCCTAAAATCCAGCCAATAATTGAACTCTTTGGATTGAATGGGAAGTTAAGAGGAATTGGTGTGAGTTGAAATTAAAAGGCTGAGATGTGGAAAGTGTATCTTGCTTTTACTTCCTCTCATCTGCTCTTTTATAATTTGATCCAGCCGTACCCAAACTAATGTCTTTTGGGTGTCATGGACCACAGTTCCCATCATCCTGTGGCTATGCTGGCTAGAAATGGAATGCCTTATTTTCTCTGCAGTATATGCCTAGGAGGCAGTAGGTCTGTGGGACTTAGATGTTTTTAAACATTTGTTTCTTCTGCCTAGTTTATTAAATCAACATCTAATTCAAAATTAAATGTTTCAGAGAAATGCAGGGTGGTTTACAAGAAAACTCTCAAAGACAGCTATTGTAAAGCATCACCAGCACTACTTAAAACAATATTAAAAGTGTGCATTTTAAGAAAGAAAAATAATAGTAATTTACTTAGTGCTGTTTGACCATAAAATGTATTGTTTGTCTACATATGCCTGGCTGAACAGTGTGTTTGGAGTTGCCTCTAAATGGGTGAGGGATGCACTGTTCATATTTTCCTTGAGAGAAAGTTCTATAATTGGGGTACTGTCTCTGAGAAGGCTCTGCTCGTGGCCACTGTTCTATAAACCAAACCAGGGGGACCATCTAGTCTAAATGGATGGTAAACAAAGATGATTAGGGGGCTGAAGGTTAAAACATAACAAATGTTTGTGGGAATTGGGTATGTCTAGCTTAGTGAAAAGGACTAGGGGTGGGGACATGATACCAGTGTTCCAATATTTGACGGGGTACCACATAGAAGAAGGGGTCAACCTATTTTCCAAAGTATCAGAAGGCAATAATAGATGGAAACTAATCAAGAAGAAAACCAGCCTAGAACTAAGGACTTGTGAAAACAACTAACCAGTGAAAAGACTTGCCTTCAGAAGTTGTGGATGCTCCATCACTGGAGCTTTTTAAGAAGAGATCGGATATTCCATTGTCTGGAATGGTATAAGTCCCCTGCTTGAGCAGAGGGTTGGACTAGAAGACCTCAAAGGTCTCTTCCAATTCTGTTAATCTTTGAGAGAAGCGCTGCCCACTTCTCCCCCTTCCCTTATCCCTTCCTGGGCAGAGAGAGGGAGGGAGGGAGGGAAGGAAAGAGGGGAGGGAAACAGGAAGAAAGAAAGAGAAGGAAGGAAGTAGATGGGAATGAAAAGGAGGGAGGCAGAGAAGGAAGGAAGGAAGGAAGGAGGGAGGGAGGGAGGGAGGGAAATTGGAATGAGAGGGAGGGAGGGCCTGAGGGAAGTCCTACTTTAGGACTTGGCCACCAGCAGCCCTGTTGCCCTTTCGCCATCCCCTGGTGGTCTCCCATCCTATTGGTGAGGATGCTTTGATTACAAAGCCAGGTCTCCTTGCATGGAGAGGGAGTGGGCCTCCCTCTGACCCACACACTTTGCCCTCTTGCACCCACCATGAGCAACCTGGCCAAGGAGAGCGAGCACAGCAGCAGCCACCTCAAGGAGGAGGTAAGCGCAGCTGGGTGCCGCCTCGGGGAAGTGCAGCTGGGCTAGGCAGAGCTGTGGGGTCCCAGTGCCATGGGAGCTCAAGGGCCAGGCTGGGCACTTGACCTCCTCTGCCCAGGGCTCCAGGCAATCCATGTCAACATCCAGGGCCCCCCTGCATGGCCTGAGAGGGACAGTGGCTCCTCCAGTGGACCATGCCCCGGCGCACGACCTGGTCCCACCCCCCCTCCACTGTAGACCCTCAGATCCTCCCCAGTCCTGCCCAGGCCCGCACAGGTGCCCCTGATGCGAGTGATGTTGAGCTGGCCACGCCCACCCCAGCCACGCCCACCCAGTAGATTGCACCCACTCCAGCCATACCCACCCAGCCCCCCAATGGCAACCACAATGCTAATGCGGCCCTCAATTAAGTTTGACACCCCTGATCTAGCCAATCAGTTACATTTGCATTGTTTTGGGAACAGTCTCTCCGCCTTGGACTTTCCCAACCAATGGCCTTGGAATGCTGGATCTGTCTCAGGTTTCAGGTCGGCACACTTGCATTCCTTTTCCCTTCCCGATAGTCTCCTTGCATTCTATTGCCTTCCCTCCCCCCTCAGATTGCTGCTGTCTGGTTGAGAGTGGGATTTGCATAGCGAGCCAACCATGACACGTGGAATTTTTCTTAGGCTTTCTCTGAGTTTGTTAAAATCAGCTCTTTTAAAGTTTAAGACACTGGTTGAATTATATTCTATTGCTTGTGTTTGCATTATATTGAATTCCAATATGACATGGTCACTCTCGCCCAAGGTTCCGGCAACTTCAACTCCTTCTATCATTTCTTCTCTATTAGTAGGTCCAGTATAGCTTTTCCTCTAGTTCCCTCCTCTGCCTTTTGGAAGACAAAATAGTCAGTTAAGCTGGTTAGAAATATGTTCGATCTTCCACTTGCTGTAGAGTTTGCCTTACAGTTGATATCAGGGTAAATCCTCCTATTACTATTGTGGTATGTTTCCTACATATATTTGTTAATTGATTAGCAAAGCGTTCATCTATTTCTTCTGCTTGGTTGGGTGGCCTGTAGTATACGCTTAGAGTAATATCATTCTTTTTCCTTTTATATTGACCCGTATGGATTCTAGAAGATTTTCATCCTTGATTTTGTGTATTTCTGTAGAGATGTAGTGATCTTTTATATATAATGCAACTCCACCTCCTCTTTTGTTAGTTCTGTTTCTTTTGAATAGTTTGTATCACTCCCTTAGTACATTCCAGTCTCGACTTTCATCCCACCAAGTTTCAGTAATGGCAACTATATCGTATCTGCCTTTATGTACTAATAATATTTCACGTTCACCCGATTTGTTTCCTAAACTTTGAGAGTTCTGTATAGGCATTTGAGTCCTTCATGAGTCTTGGATATTTTATATTTCCTACTTTGTAACTCACTACTTTGTTATGTTTTTTCTTTTTTTATTTCTTCTTTCTCTTTACTCCTTATCTCTTTATGTGATTGGTTATCTAGTGGTTTTTGCTAGGAATTAGGTTTTAAAGATCGTGAAGATTGTCCCCTCCCCCTAACAGAAAGAGGGGACCAATCATGTCAATAATTTATTGACATGAAACATTTTATTAAAAAACAAAAATAGAAAAAGTATAAAAGTATAAAAGTATAAATACAGTCAAAGCCATATCATTTCAGTTTTTTTCTTTTTAATACATTTAAAGACATTTCTAAAATTCTATTTTCACTTTGTCATTATGAGGTATTGAATATAGATTAATGAGAAAAAAAGAATTTCAACAACTATAGAATCAGACTGCAGCATAACAAAATTGACAAAAGTGAAGGGGTTCTGAACACTTTCTGCACTGTAACTTTTAATAAAATTATTGGAAAAGAGAAATGGACTTTTCTAAGTATTTGTCAAATAAATTGTTTCGATTCACTAGGAGTTGGACTCTGGCTGGGCAGGCCCTTTGGAATTGATTTTGTTTTGTTATATGGGAAGAGTGGCAGTTGTTGGTTCAGAGGAAGATGGCAGGGTCTTTGGAGTTTTATCACCTGTGCTTTAGATCCATGCCCATTCTGATTGGTCAAGGCCTCCCAGGAGTGCATGTGGTTGGATCCAAGCTGTGGTGTATGCAGGAAGGGACAGTCCAATCTGCTTTGAAAGAAGTGCTGGTCTACAGTATGCTCTCCTCAAGTTGAACCCAACAGTTCTTGACAACAGGAAGCAAAGCGAGGCTGCCGGGCTGGTGTGCTAGTGAGGCTATGTAAACTCCCAAACAAACCACCACTTCCGAGCATTTTTCTTGCCAACGTAAGGTCCCTTGCCAACAAAATGGATGAGTTGAGGCTGTGAATTACAATAAACAAGTTTATCAAGGACTGCTGTGTTTTACTGATCACAGAGACCTGGCTTCACTCATCTATACCAGATACAGCTGTCAAGCTAGTGGGCTGCACAGTGCACCACCAGGGTAAGAGCAGGGATTCTGGTAAAAGCGAAGGAGGAGGTTTATGCATGTATGTCAACAACAGTTGGTGTACCAACACAAAGACTGTAGACAGTCACTGCTCTATGGACCTGAAGTATATGACTGTGAGACACAGATCCATATACCTTCAGCTGGAGTTTACCGTATTCATAATTACTGCTGTTTATATTCCACCTGATGCTAATGCTAACTTGGCTTTGGGATTTTTGTATAATCTCTTAGTAACCAGAAGAATAAGTATCCTGATGCTATGTACATTATAGTGGGGGACTTCAACCATGCTGATTTAAAAGCAGTGCTCCCCAAATTCCATCAGCATGTTAAGTGTGCCACTAGGGAAGCAAATACATTGGACAAGGCCTATTCCAATGTTAAACTTGGCTATAGGGTTATACAACTGCCACACATCAGCCAGTCAGATCATATATCTATGCTTTTATTAGCAACATATACTCCTCTTAGGAAACGGGCTGTGAAATCCTGGCCTGATGGTGTCTCTCAACAGCTGCAGGACTGTTTTGAGAGGACAAACTGGGACATCTTGGACCACCCAGACTTGGAGGAGTTCACTGCAGCTATTCTGGACTATATTTAATACTGTATAGACACTGTTACTGTGGACAAACAAATCCGGATTTATCCCAACTGGAAGTCTTGGATGACTAAGGAAGTCCAGCGTCTCCTGCATGACAGAAACCATGCCTTTAGGTCGGGTGATTGGGAAAAATATAGTGCTGCCAGAGCTAGTCTGAAGAGAGGCATTCAGCAGGCAAGGCAGATTATAAGAGGAAGACTGAAGATTATTTTCATAGCATTGATGCAAGGCAGATGTGGCAGGGGATTCAATAAATCATCAACTATAGACCCAATAACATCACTCCTGTTCACAGGGATGCTTCATTGGCAGAAAAGCTGAATCATTTCTTTGCCCACTTCGAAATGAAGCCATCAGAGGCAGCTGTGCTACAGCCACTAGTCCACCGCAGCCCTCCCCTCACCATGAAGGAGCATGAGGTGAGGAGTACCTTGAGAGCTGTGAACTCAAGGAAGGCTGCTGGACCTGATGGCATTCTGGCTGGGTACTTAAAAACTGCGCACACCAGTTGGCTGGGGTCTTTAAAAAAGATTTTTAATTGGATAGAATTTTTAATTCTATCCCAGTCCACTATTCCATCCTGTCCAAAGGCCTCCATCATTGTTCCATTACCAAAGAAGTACTTTATTAACAGTCTTAGTAATTATAGACCAGTTGCACTCACCCCTGTTATCATGAAGTGTTTTGAAAAAACATTTCTCAAGTACATTATATCCTGCCTCCCATACACACTGGACAGTCATCAGTTTTTAGACAGAGCAAAAAGATCCACAGAGGACGCCATAGCCATCACTCTATACTGCTCTAACTTTGGAGCAGCTGGGGACCAATGGAAGGATGCTCTTTGTGGATTTTATCTCTGCATTTAACACAATTCTTCCATACACACTGGTGTCTAAACTTGTCAGTTTTGGACTTAGACATTCAATCTGCTTTACGATTATGAACATCCTGTCCGACCACTCTCAGAGGGTTAGATTAGAAAACTATATCTCTTCATCCCTTATTCAGGGCTGTGTTTGAGCCACCTACTTTACACCCTCTAAACTTATGACTGCACCTTCACTCATCCCCAGCAACATTATTGTTAAATTTGCGGATGATACAACAGTGGTGGGGCTTATCTCCAAGGGGGATGAATCTGCCTACCAGGATGAGGTGGAGCAGTTGTTCTTGTGGTGCAGAGACAATAATTTGGTTCTCAACACAACCGAGACCAAGGAGCTTATAGTAGATTCCAGGAAGAATAGATCAGACATCCAGCCCCTGATCATCAGCGGAGACTGTGGAGCAGGTGGCACTCTTTAGGTTTCTGGGTGTTACCATAAAGGAGGACCTGATCTTACCTGGAGTGCTCATGTTAAGGCCCAGCAGAGATTATATTTCTTGAGACTTCTCAGGAAACAACTGAATAAAAAACTGCTGGTGACCTTCTACCGTTGTTCCATAGAGAGCATTCTAACCTATTGCATTTGTGTGTATTTTGCTTGTTGCATAGTAGCAGAAAGGAAAGTGCTCCAGAGGGTCATTACCATCGCCCAGAGGATTATTGGCTGCCCTCCCCCCTGGACGAACTGTACAGTTCCCGTTGTCTTAGGAAAGCTCAAAACATTCTTAAAGACATCTCATCCCAGACATTTTTTTTTTTGAACTATTACCATCTGGCAGACGGTACAGGATAATAAAAAAAGACAAATAGGCTGAAAAATAGTTTTTATCCCAGAGCTGTAACCATATTAAATACCACAGTATAGTGCAACATTGAAGTGCAATATTAGGGGCAGTGCAATGGTGAATAGAATATGAAGGAATACACATATGAATATATATGTGTATATAATGTATGTTCTTATTTGTGGTTTTTACTTGTGTGTGGTGTGCACTGTGGACATCACTTGATTTCGTTGTGAGTTACACAATGACAATAAAGATATTCCTGTTCTAGTCTAATCTAGTCTAGTCTAGTCTAGTCTGTTCTACCTCCAACTTGACTAAATGGCTCAGAACATCAAAAGATCCTAGAAGAAACAGATTATTTGGATACTTTCCATTTAGGTTTCAGACCAGGTTATAGTACCAAACCAACATTGATCATGCTTGTGGATGACCCTGAAGTTTCAGGATGGAGGTGGTTCATTCTTGCCCTCCTGGATCAATTCAAGTTAGTTTAAGTAGAAGAGGAGAGGTCTAGCCCTGGACTTCTATTATGTGGGGTACTTCAGGACTTGATACTCTTCCCACTCTATTTAACCAACCTTGTTACAAATCCCTACTGCAGAAAGTACAAATGATTTTGTTGAGTCTCTTAACCAGTGACTGGAGACACATCTCTATATTTGCAATTCAAGCCCATCAAGTCTTTTGTTGCTGTGGGTTTTTGGGTCTCTGAGTCTGGAACCATTTCATTTGCAATCTGAAATGAAGTTGAATTCCCCAAAACAGAGCTGGTATGTGGTTTGGGGATTTTGGACTCATGATTACTGCTTGAGGAGCAATGGCAGCTGTGGCTAAGAGGACCCTTGCAGAAATCCATTGTGTGAGTCAGTTACTCTTGTTCATGGATCAGGAGATTTTGATCACTGTCATTCACATCTTAGTAATTTCCTGGTTGGATTAATACAACATCCTGTACATAGAGCTGCTCTTAAAGAAGCATTAGGAACCTTTAACTAGTCCAGAGTTCAATGGCACACACAATACTGAAAGCATCTAGATCAGGGGTTCTCAACCTTGGCAACTTTAAGACTTGTGGACTTCAACTTGCTGGCTGAGGAATTCTGGGAATTGAAGTTCACAAGTCTTAAAGTTGCCAAGGTTGAGAATCCCTGATCTAGATTTACCCATGCCACAGTTTTGCTGCATAAGCTGCACTAGCTTACAGTAACAATTCAGTCATCACATTTAAAACTACACAGGTGCAAGGATAGGTTACTTATGAAACCACTTGGCTTCAAATAGTTTCTACCCATTTCACCAGATTTGACATGGTGAATATGTTCCAGTCTGTTCTATGAAACAATGTCGCCTTCAGGACCCAGCAGATATGTCTTCTCTACTGCTACCCCTGCCATATAGAACAATCTCTACAAAGAGATTGTGAACCTGCCAGCTTTCTTGAATGCTATAAAAATCCGACTTTTCCCTCAGGAATAAGCACAGATGATTAGTAGATTTATGTGTTTTGGGGACTTGTGAATTGGACCTTGTATCCTATTACCGTAAATGCCGACGTACAAGGCGACCCGGCGTATAAGACGACCCCCGTCTTTATAGCCGGGCCGCATTCCTAGAACGTCGTCTTATACGCCGGAAACTACCAGTATTTCCGGCGTATAAGACGACTCGGCGTATAAGACGACCCCCGTCTTTGGCGCCGATTTCAGCGCTCGTGTAAGTTGCCTTATACGCCGGCATTTACGGTACATTTTTTCAGTGTATGTTGCTGTTTTTATAATAATTTTTGTATTTTGTTGGCAAGCTCACAGGTTTGTCAGCCATATATATTTTCTAAATAATACTAAAATAAATAATTGAGATCTATAAAACAGAAACAAACTGAATATTTTCAGTTTTGTAAAAATGGATGCAGTGTGATTTGTCTTACATTTTAATTGTAATTTGCAGGAAAACCAGTGGCTGTTACAAGTAACCGAGGATCAGGAAAAGCATTGTTACGTCCTGGTGCAAATCCACACCTGGAAAGGCAATATTATCTGAATAAATTGTTGAAAGGCAGAACAGGTACAAATCTGTAGTTTTTGAAATTATAAAATTAATACTGTTGAATTTATGATTTTGTCATTTTACTACCCAAGTTACTTCTATAATATTATAATATGCTTTTAAATAAATGTGTTGTATTTTTTAAACTGTATGAAAATTTACCATCCATTTTGAGAAAAATACAGGGGTAGAACTATTTTTAATTATTCTACTATCAATGAGAATGCTTCCTTTAGAAAGAAAAAAAATTCATAGTGGGAACTTTGAGTGGCATAGCCATGCGTTATACCAAGGGTGTCAAACTGCCGGCCCATGGGCCGGATGCATCATGCCCACACCTCACCCACCCCATTGCCGGCAATGGAAAAAAATGGCGATACGTCATGTGATGTTGCGAGTTTGACACCCCTGCTTTAGACAAACATCACAATCCATGAAGGATAACTCTGGATGCTTCCTGATAGATTGTTGTGCCATCCATGCTATTTATTTAAAAGATTTATACAGCTGCTTAACATGCATGATCGTGACTCAGAACTGTGCGCATTAATAAAATCAAAGGAAAAAACAAATTACAATTAAAACCAAAAATATCAAGAAACCAAAGCAAAAGAAATTGATATACTAATAGCACAAGTTCCATCTCCCAAAGTTCAACATCCAAAGAAAACAAGTTTTAAAGCCTTCCTGAAGATTGACTGGGTTGGGCCAACTGAACTTCAGATGACTGGAGAGGTGGTTTAAAGAGCAAGCACCGCAACAGAAAAGGCACTCCTAGCTTTCATCAGATAACATTGCTTCAAGGAAGGGACCTAGAGTGTGCCCATTTTGTTAAACATGTAGGATTGACAGAAATAATCTTAGGTGGTCCTGCAAACCACCCAGACTTGTACCCTGTAGGGCTTTATAGGTGATTACTAGCACCCTGAATTCCATCTAGATCAGGGCTTTTCAACCTTTTCATCCATTGTACCACTTTTAGGATATGGCAATATCCAAGTACCACCAGTCGCCTAGCAAGGTGTCAAAAACTATTCGAAGTTACAATGACACTGAAAAAAATGCCAAGCAAGACATTTGCCTGCCCACCCGGTGGCGCTCTTCCTCCTGTTTGAGGTTTTCATTGTTGTGAGCATTTCTGTTGAGGATTGGCAGCAGGGGTGGGATGGGGGGTGTTTGGTTTTTATTCTCCCCCCCTCTGCTGGATAGTTGCAACAGGTTTTGGTCACTTCACATGACCCTGGGACACTGTGACGTCATAAATATGAATCAGTTGCCAAGCATCTGAATGTAAATCACAAGACCCTGGATATGCTGCAACATTCCAGCTGATCGGTGCTTCTTCTGGGCTCAGCAGAAGCGCCAGGATCAATGCCGAGCTCCAGCTGGAGCCTGGCTCTGATCCTGGCGCTTCCACTGAGCCCTGACAGTCCTGCAGCTCCAGCCATCTCTCACTCAGGCTTGTGCGGTGCTGCCACCGGTTCAACTCATTCCCCTCCCCCACTACCACTTTTCTAGGATGGTCGCATATCACCTGCCAGGTGCCAATGTACCACAGGTGGTACCCGTACCACTAGTTGAAAAGCCTTGATCTAGATGGCTAAAGGGAGATAGTGTAGCTTGAAAGTAGTAGAATTTCCACATTTATAACTATCTACATCACTGCATTCTGATCCCGTGCAGCTTCTGGATGAATGTATACATTGTATGTATTCATCTGCAATGAGTACATGACAGTAATCTGGCCAGAGATAGCTAAGGCATGAGGTTCAAGGCTTTTCCCCCTCTTGTACCAAGCTATAGAAAGCAATAAAACCACAACATCACAGAATGATTTATTTATGAACACAGCTGCCAAAAGATGGCACTAATTTAAATGAATTCAACTGTGGATTCAACTATTTTTCTGAAGAAAGTATATATTAATTAGGATTATCCTACATAGCTAGGTTCGGTATATCTGAGTGCCAGGTGTTAAGAATAAACATTTCAGAGGGGCTGTTTTTATACTTTGTAATTAACTTTTTAGCAATCTTGTTAAAACTGACTGCTGGGCTAGATGATCTGATCTAGCATGGCCATTTGCCTTTTAATGTTTTTCTATCAATAAATCTTATACAACTTTATTCTTTGTATAATTTTTTTAAAATAAGAAATCTCTAACAGTAAAAATCAAGCTTCATCTAAGGCAGAGATTTTCCATACAGAAGCAAGATTATAGCAAATTATATGAAAACAGTTTTATTTGATATTATCTAATCCCCAAACTGTATGAATTATTGCAAGATATTTACTTGAGATTTTCAAGGCAAGAGTAGAAAGTGTTATTTAAACAAAAGCTGCAATCAGTGGGTTTTTGTTTTTTGTTTTGGCTGTTAGGGATCCAGCTAAGAGATGGTAGTATTATACAGGCAGGATCACGTCACATGTCAAAGATATTCCAGTGTTTGCTTTGTTTTGTTTTTTCTGCATTTGGAACTTTTGGGGGTACTCTTTGTTTTGTTTACATTGAATGTGCCTTGTTCAAAATTAAAAATGATAGAAAACTGTGCAGCCAGATTTCAGCTGTCATATTCAAGGTGGTAACCATTTATATTTTAAGGGTTGCATTTTGAGCAATAAAATAAACATTTCATAGCTTTTTCCAGCCAGTTCTGTTGAAAATATAAATAATCCTTGGGTTACAATGGAAGTTGGGACTGGGATTTCTTATCACTAAGTGAGGTTGTCATAATGCATGACATCTTGTGACTTCACTGCTTAATGACTGAAATTCGGGCAGTCCCGGTTATGCGGATCATTAAGTAGGCCAGCAGGTAAGATCTATGGGCCAACAGGACAGATACTGCAGGTGGGTACTAGGAATTGTTGGGCTTGCAGCAGCACAAGAATGAAGCAGCACTCCTCAGTGAGGGTAGTCTTCAACAGTTTCAGTCTGCTACCACTGCTTCAGCCAGAGTGCCATAGCAAGCTCAGTGCAGCAGCAAGCCTCAGCAGTGCCAGCTGGTCTCAAGCCCCAGCACTGACCTCTAATCCCAGCAGTACTGGTCACCTCAAGCCCCAGCAGTGCCACCATGTCTCAGCCCCAGCACTGAGGCAAATCTCAGCAGTGCCAGCTATCCATAAGACCCTCACTGCAGCAAACCTGCATAGCCTCAAGCTCACACTTCCTAGCACCTGTATCATTCATGTGGTATCAGCCATGAGTCCAGGAATGGATGGAGATAGGGCTGCTGTTATTGGGAGTTTCTATTAGCTCTGAAAGATGCTGCAGCAGACATACTGGATTTGAGGCCTTGTTTGTGAGTTTGGGCCACAAAGTTTAGCCAAGACCACTTCTTGCTTCTCTCCCTCCCTTTGATGTAACAATATTCTTACTTGAACTTCTTGATTCTGTGACTGAAATGGCAATGAATTCCCTAAATTGATAGTCCTGGGGACATCATTCTGTATTCGTATCCCAGAGTCAAAAAATGATTGTTGTTGTTATGGGACATTGGAATATGATCAAGTGTTGATGGAAGTTACATCAGTCTCTTGCTATGGACAGATTACTTCCTGGGGTCCTGAAGTTCTCTGTACCTGCCCATTGCAAGGAAGAAGGGCTAATTTGATCATTTCACCCCAGGAGATGGATAGACCCAGTGGGGTTTTAGAGGGAACTCAGTGATATTAGCTCTAATACAGTACATGATTTTCTACAGGCCTTAGTCATGCCTGAAGTGAACGTTCAATAAGACTCTTGGAATAGGTTTTCCACGTGGACTCTGATTGTGGGCGTGTAGCATTTCAGTTACTGAGGAGGGATTCAGGAGATTAAATAAAACAAGAGATATTTAGAGTGCTGTAGAAAAAGTCAGAGAACAAACCTGATCCAAGTACAGATGAGAGCAACTTTATTAGGTCTTGCCTTGTAAGAGCAGTGAAAGAAGCTTACTTTTCCTTATTGTATCTGCCAATAGCTCGGTTTCAGGTGACTAGGTCCTTTCTTGGTGGAGGGGAGAGCTCATGCAAGGCCTCTCTAAAGACTGTTTTGGTGTCTGTTGGATAAAGTTGCTCAGGTTTGCTGAGTTGGGCAGTTCCTATGGAAGTGGATGTTGGATGCCTTTGCTCAATTAATTGGGAAGAGTTTCAGTTGGTTGGCTCTGAAGAAGTAGACAGGATTTTTGTTGCCTTGAGTTCTATCGTTTGTGTTCTGAGCCCATGGGCCTTGTGTCTGGTTAATTTATCTTGTAAGGTGGCAAGTGGTTGGATTCATGCAGTGTTTAATGCGTCTTTGTGGAGGGTTAAAGGTGTACCTCAGTTTATGACCAGTTGCTTAGTGATCGTTCAAAATTACAACAGAACCCCCCAAAGGTACACCCACTTCTGAAGTTCTGACAGCCATCCTGCTGCTGCCTCTTTGGTCATATGTGTTGTGAGTCCTCACCTGCCAGCAAATCTGGCAGCCCAGTCAGATGAATCAGATGAGGGGGAAGGGTTGCCTGGGGTCACATCAGAGTCTGTGGAAGGCTATGAGAAGCATGAAGACTGAGAGCTAGATGTGACACTGGGCTCATCTACTCACGCTCAGGCAGAGACAGCTGGGTTGGGGGCCTGAACTGAGCGAAGAGGAAGAGCAGCTGGAGCCTGTTTCAGATGCACGGATGCACAGGGAGGAAAGGCCTGCAGGACAGCAGAGAGCAATGGGGCAGCTCTCCAGGAAAAATAAAAGACTCTAAGAAGCCACGCCCTGGCTGGACGATAAAGAGGAGAGGCGTGGGAGAGGCTGGTTGCCAAAGGCAACCATTCATGCTGCGATTTCGTGCTTCTGTTGTTGGATTTCTTGCCTTAGGATTCTTGGATATTTAACCAGGTTTGTCAGCTTTCTCTGTGTTTGAGTGACTTAAACCTTGAGCGTTCCAGCTGAGAACTCAGAGACTGAATCTTGTTAGTTTCAACAGCTAAAGTACTGGTTGGAGTTTTGTTTGATAAAAGCTGTGTAAAAATAAAAGGGGTTTATCTTATCAAGTCCTTCT